CTCTACTACTGGAGTGTTCGCATTGACGCGGCACTGATGCGCACTGACACGGCAGAGACGCGCACCGACGCGACACGAGCGCGCACCTGGGAGAGAGTCAGTGGGCTCCCAAAGTGTCATTTACATGTGTAAAAACAACGAACTGAGCACACATTGAGTACCGGTAGCGAATTGAACATGACCTCTGAAGAACTTCACTCATTTTATTATAAGAGTCTTATAGACTTCAATAGATTATTGTAAGGATGAGATATAATTCATTTTCAATGTATATGGTACTGTACTGGGTCTTTAGAATTCGGTTTTACGAGGTTCCGAATGGGTTTAGTAATGCCGCGCCGGTTCCGCGTCACTGCGCGTCAGCCGCGTCAAAATATCCTGACCGCCACATGTGTGCGCACACGCGCATACTCCGCTCCGGGCCTTCTTCACCCTGGAGGCGTCCCCCAAGCGTGATTGCCGGCAGTCCGCGTTGGGGCATGCATCTACACCCAAAGTTGCGGAGGGTAAGTTGTGCCTGGAGACCAAGGGTAGCGCGCAAGTGGGTACACATCGTGAACGCCCGGCGGCCCCTTTGCTATGGCGCCAGCGAACGGTATTTACGCTCTGCGGGGCTCCGTTCTGTACCTAGGTTAACAAATCAGTATAATATCCAATTCGACAGACCGGACGTACTTGCTGAGTGAGGGGGGAGCTCTCGTAAGGTTGAATTTAGAGCTGCTTGGGTTTGTGCAGCATCCGTGCAGTGAGCAGGCGGCTGCGATGTGCGGGAAGTTATGATCGCTATGTCAGTATCAAGTAAGAGAGCCTGACCTCGCTTAATTACTGTGATTAACCTTAGAACGAAGGAGGTAATTAAGTAAAATGAAACTCGTAACGATTGAATCTGAAATGGCCGAAAGATGAAAACACACCTGCTTTGTGAGGACTGTTGGAAGCAAGAGAGCAATCCAATATTAGCAGTGAACCCGTTACAAACGCGCGGGGAATCTTTTGTTGTCTACGGTACTCAAATACTATTTAGAGTAATTAATGTACCAATTTAGCCTCTCGGATACAATAACGGGCAGCCACGGGAAAGCAGAAATGAAGGAAAGAATGAACGGTGGGGACCTGGTAGTAAAGTGCGCCACAAATGCAGCGCACATGCAACTCGTAACTACAACAAGGACTTCATGATTGTAGCAGAACCAATCAGGCATACCTGGGGATATGATACATCACATTGTTTTGCGCCGTGATGCGCACCAGACTTATGGCTCAACAGGTTCCATTTCGGCTCCCATTCAGGGCAAACCGCTTCGGCCACACAAACTCCTTTCATCACTTCGCCTTCAATTAATCCAGTCAGGAGTTTCCTCGGCTCTCTCACCGTCAAACTCAATCCAGACCAAAGAGGCTACTGGGCCGCTTGTGTATCATTAAGAAAACATGAGCATGGTAAAGATCCTAAGTCACGAGAAACCGGATATCATAAGTAAACATCGTCCGTCCAACGTTTTTGGCCCTCTGCCCAAGGGCTCAGCAACGGAGAGTGTGAACAGCAGGAACAATGAAACTCACGATATGTAACGCACACGCAGATGATCTCGGCACGCCAATTAAAGGCAAAGCTATAATCCGAACACCTCAGCACGGATACATTCATAAATTCTGACAACGGGACACTGACGCCGAGGAGGCAGATATTTCCACAGCACTCTGAACCGACGGAGCACGACTGCAGGGCATGCCTGCACTCGCCAGGGGGTACGCCAGAGGTAGTTCCGCGTTTGGCAGCTAAAGATTTTGTCAGAAAATCCATAAGAAATGGTTTTGCACGCATACCAAGGGCTGGAGTAGACCGTTGGGCGGGGGGGTTAGGAGGCAACCCACGCGCCATACGATAAGCATTGGTGTCGACCCTCGCAGCACTAACAGTTGCGACAGCAGTGAGGGCAATGAAGACAGTGGAGAACTTCATTTTGGTGAGCGAAAGCAGAGGACAAGTTCCTGAGGATGCGAGTGAGGGAAAGAGCCGCCTTTTAAGCAGCTCTCGATTCCCCAACGACATCGCAGAACCGGTTCAAATTTAGCAGCAACAGGGATTATGTTGTGGCGGAATGATTGCCAGGGGCGAGCGCAATCCCATTCTTCCACCCAACTTGTACTTCCACCCAGTTTCCACTTTGGTGCCACTTGAGGAGGCGCAAGTGGCACCACTGACTCCAGCGCGCATCAGTTAAGCATCAGCGCAAAAAGCAAGACCTCGTAGTTGCAACCCTCAGAGTCCGCACAGCTTTAGTTCCTGAATCGAAATCAAGAAGGACACAGGACAGATGGAAACAACGGACTATAAACGCCGCAACATGATAATGTCAAGATACTGTACTATTACGGCCAAATGTTCACGCCATGTCACCCGTCACCTCAAGTGTACCTGTTCAACTGAGCTTGTTGTTGATTTCTCGCCCCTCGGCACCACAAGGGAGACTTTTCCGATTGGCTTGCCCCTATATCGGAGTTTGAATTTGGCTCTGATGGCATTTTTGACGTGGGCAAATCGGCTTGTTCGGCGGGCGTGGCTTGTCTTCAAATACAGCCAGATGTTCAGATGGAAACAATGGAATATAAACGCCGCAACATGATAATGTCAAGATACTGTACTAGTACGGCCAAATGTTCACGCCATGTCACCCGTCACCTCAAGTGTACCTGTTCAACTGAGCTTGTTGTTGATTTCTCGCCGCTCGGCACCACAAGAGAGACTTTTCCGATTGGCTTGCCCCCATATCAGAGTTTGAATTTGGCTCTGATGGTATTTTTGGCGTGGGCAAATCGGCTTGTTCGGCGGGCGTGGCTCATCTTCAAATACTCAATCAATTCGAGAGTCACGCGCAAGTCACGCATCACGGAGGGGGTTGTCGATTGCGAATAGGGGCAGTCAGAGTAGAAGATTATGTACAGATTATCGACGAGAATTATGAAAAGATTATTGATTTATTGAGCGTGGGATAAACACGTTAAATCAATAATCCTCCGTAAACGCAGAATCGGCCCTGGAGGAGATTATGCAAAGATTCTCGCAGATTAATCCTGTTACATGTGTGTCCAGTCTTTGTCGCTGCTGACCGTTATTTGTATGTAACGGCCTCGTCGCTGCCGATCTCGGCGATCATGCCTGCCTCGACTATCTCAAAAGCCCCGCGGAAAGCTGCTGTCTCTTGAAAGAAGGCTCTGACCCGTTTCAAACACTCACACCTCATTTTTCACCATCCTGCGGCCTCGCGCGTCGAATCGAGCTTTCAAATCAAGCTATGGACTTCTTGTCACCGACTCTACCGATCTGGCGCCGACTTTGCGCGTTTTTTCTTTCTTTTTTGCCCGCCTCGCAGACTATTTGTTGTCCTTCCCGCGACCTCCGGCCACAAAACGCAGCATGAAACCGAGGATTTCCAACTACAGGAATTTAAATCAATCCCGCGGCTTCCCGCCAATCGAACCCGTCATTCTACCGACTTCGCGTGTTTTATTTCCGATGTTTCTTCTCGCTTCGTAGGTGTACAACCTCTGACTCGAATTGCCACGCTTTCTCGCCTTGGAAATCTGCGCTGGATCTGGCATTCAGAATTCTAGACCGCCGATCTTGTGCGCTTTCCTGCGGACTTTGGCGCGTCATTTTCGCGATTTGTTACCGCTTCGGGGGCACCTCAAAGTTCGCGCTGGATTCGAAATCTCGTGCGATTCCGGACAACTTGGCGCGATTTTGGCGCCCGCCTGTGGTACCTTCGGCAAACTCTAGAGCGCTTTGAAAGTGTAATTGAAGTGCGTCCTCACTTCCTCCTTCAAACTCGTCTATTCTTCTTGATCACATCGAGTTCCGAGTGTCTTTGATCCTCTATCTATCACTTTCGTCAACAGCGGACCAAGCGTGGTCTGGCAGCCGCAAGGAGCACCGTAGCCTTAGTTTTCTTAGGGTCCGTTTTTGTTACTTTATTTATATAATGAATACATCCTGTACGTGCAATCGGCAATGACGGAGAGTTGTCGGGTACCACCTTCGAGGACTTGTTTTCGGGCTCGGAGAGCAGTGGGTGGAAGATATTTCAGGGTTTTCAACAAAAAGCTGACAGCTGCCAATTATTCGGATTGGGGGAGTCGAACCCCGAGATTCACCCTACAACACAGCGAATTATTATTAGGACGTGCACCGTGCACCACATCCCAGTTACTTCCCTTCATTTGATACTGGGCGAGTGAGTGGTTGTTATTTCAGCACAAAAATAGGAAAAGCAACCAGCACACAGGGGTTTCATTCGGATGCGGGGAGCCGGTCCTCAGCCTGATGATTGTTACAATACACTATGAGCTGATATGCACCGTGCACCACATCCGAGATATCCCATACCCTTTGAAGCTGGGTAAGTAGGAATATTTTAGCATGGATGTGGCAAAAAAACGAATTGCAAGATGAGGTTTTATTCGGATGCGGGGAGTCGAACCCCGTTCTTCAGCTTACAGCATCTAGGAAACCAGTTTATTGAGAGCCGATGTGCACCGTGCACCACATCTAGATATCTGAGTTCTTCTCTACCTTCTGAGACTGAGCACGTAGCAGCATTTTAGCACCAAAAAGAAAATCATGGAGCTTATTCGGACGCGGGGAGTCGAACCTCGTTCTTCAGCTTACACCTTCGACCCCACAATGGCCGCTGATGTGCACCACGCACCACATCCGAGTTATTCCATACCTTCTGAACCTGGGTACGTGGGAATAGTTCAGTAGAAAAGCCAAAAAGAAAGAAAAAGAAAAGAAAAGAAAAAGAGGACGATCCCTCGGCATTCGGAGAACCCCGGCCTTCAGCTTGAATTTATAAAGGCGTAGGAATCAATTCTTCAATGAGAAGCTGACGTGTACCGTACACCACATCTGAGTTAATACCCTTCATTTGGAGCTGGGAAATTTGAGCATGGACACGACACGGCTCAAAAAAGAGATGCAAAAAATGCCGTTCCATTCATTCGGATGTAGGGAGTCGAACCCCGGTCTTCAGCCTGCAGAGGTAGACAATACAAATATCAGGAGCTGATGTGCACCCTGCACCACATCCGAGTTTTTCTTTATCCTTTGAACCGGGGTAAATGGGAATATTTCGGCACAAAAAGGCAAAAAAAAATAGATATCATTATCTCACCTATTCAGATGCGGGGAGTCGAACCCCGGCTTTCAGCTCTAAGATTAGATATAACAAACCAACAAGGAGCTGGTGTGCACCCTACACCACATCTGAGATATTTTCCATCATTGAAACCTGGGTAAGTAGCAGCATTTGGGCGAATTCAGCAGAGAAGACCAAAAAAAATACGGCGCTCGCATCTTATTCGGACGTAGGGAGTCGAACCCCGACCATCAGCCTGAGTTTATAAAGGCGCAGGGAATGGAATTTTTAATGAGAAGCTGACGTGCTCCGTACACCACATCCGAGTTCTTCTCTACCCTCTGAGACTGGGTACGTAGCAGCATTTTAGCAACAAAAACAAAAGCATGGAACTTTGGCGGTGTTGCTCATTCGGACGCGGGGAATCGAACCCCGGTCTTCAGCCTACAACACTCTCGTCAAAATATCAACAGGAGCTGCTGTGCGCCGTGCACCACATCCGAGTCGTCCTATATTTTTTGGAGCGGGGTAGTGTAAGCAAGGATGCAGCTGAAAAAAAGACCATTGCAACATGTCCACTATAGCTAGTCAAGATGCGGGGAGTCGATCCCGGTCTTCAGCCACTGCATTGAAGGAGCAAGATAAAGAGCTGAGGTGCACCATGCACCACATCCGAGTTATTCAATACCTTCTGAAGCTAGCTAGGTAAATGCGGTATTTCAACATGAGTGTGGCAAAAAGAACGATGCATCGCGTATTACTATTCGGATGCGAGGAGTCGAACCCCAATCTTCAGCATTACACATATGGCGCGGATTGAACTGTAGCTGATGTGCACCCTGCACCACACCCGAGTTACTTGCCTTGATTTGAAACCAGAGAACATGAGAGTCGAGAGCAGGCCGGGCCGGTAGTATTTGCACATGTTTCGGCCCTCTTGTGTGAGGTCGTGGCGTGGAGGTACTTATAGCACACTGCTCGCTCGCCCTTCTGCTCCTCCGCCCATGTCCTCCCCTCTCGGTAAATGCAGCCCCCATTATCTGCGCCCCACTCTTACTGACCCTCCACCAGCAAAGAAATAGATACCTATGCCGCACCCGTCCCTCTGGCTCCTCTGGCTGCTCTTGCTTCTCCCGCTCGCCCTATGTGCGCTCGTCTACGCCCTCTAAATCCTCCCGCACCGCCGCGCCAGCATCACCCTCCTGCCGACCGCCGCCGACCCCGCCGCCCGTACCTCTGCCGTCCCGTCGATCCCGCCTTTGCGTGGCCGCGGCCGCGCAAAGAAGAGCGCCTTCGCCCGGCGCCTCCTCCCGTTCGCTCGCTCACGCCGGGACCCCGTGCTCCCGCGGCACTACCGCGCGGCATTCGCCGGGCGGGGCGGCGCGCGCGTGGAAACGGACGACGACGCGACGCTGCTCCTCGATGTGTCCGACGTCACCAGCACCTGGCGCTCCATCTCCTCCTCCTCGGGCGAACTTGTTGATCTCGAGACGCCACACTCCAGCCCGCTCAACCCGCGCTCGCCTTCCACGCCCAGCCCCTTCCTGCGCTCCTTGCCCGCCCTTCGCACACACATCGTCCCTCCCGCTTTCGATTTTTGGACACCTCGCAAAACAATACCACGTCTCTAGCGCCACGAAATTCCAGATCAAGCTATGGGCTTTCCGCCGCCTACGAAACATTTCCTGTCTTGTTAACTCGATTTCCCCAAAGTCTCAGCCCACGCATATCTAAATCAAGGTAGCGCTCTCCCGAGATCGACACAGCCGCTTTCTTCCAGGTTTTGTGACTAGACTGGGAGTTTCCTGCATCAGTGTCGGCTCAAACCCGCAACTTGCACGCCTACAAATATCAATTCAAGCTCTCGGCTTGCCGCGACTTCCTCCAAGCACATCACAAACTCTTGAAGCTCTGCCAAGACCCGTTTCAAACACTCACACCTCATTTTTCACCATCCTGCGGCCTCGCGCGTCGAATCGAACTTTCAAATCAAGCTATGGACTTCTTGTCACCGACTCTACCGATCTGGCGCCGACTTTGCGCGTTTTTTCTTTCTTTTTTGTCCGCCTCGCAGCCTATTTGTTGCCCTTCCCACGACGTCTGGCTACAAAAGGCAGTGTGAAACCGAGGATTTCCAACTACAGGAATTTAAACCAATCCCGCGGCTTCCTGCCAATCGGACCCGTCATTCTACCGACTTCGCGTGTTTTATTTCCGATGTTTCTTCCCGCTTCGCAGGTGTACAAGCTCTGACTTGAATTGCCACACTTTCCCGCCTTGGAAATCTGCGCTGGATCTGGCATTCGAAATTCTAGGCCGCCGATCTTGTGCGCTTTCCTGCGGACTTTGGCGCGTCATTTTCGCGATTTGTTACCGCTTCGGGGGCACCTCAAAGTTCGCGCTGGATTCGAAATCTCGTGCGATTCCGGACAACTTGGCGCGATTTTGGCGTCCCGCCTATGGTACCTCCGGCAAATTCTAGAGCGCTTTGAAAGTGTAATTGAAGTGTGTCCTCACTTCCTCCTTCAAACTCGTCTATTCTTCTTAATCACATCGATTTCCGAGTGTCTTTGATCCTCTATATATCACCTTCGTCAACAGCGGACCAAGCGCGGTCTAGCAGCCGCAAGGAGCATCTGTGGCCCTAGTTTTGCTTAGGGTACGTTTGTGTTACTTTATTTTTAAAATGAATACATCAGAACGTTGTAAGTGCAACCGGCAAGGACGGAGATTACCACCTTCGAGCATTTGTTTTCAGGCTCGGCGAGCAGTAGGCGGAAGATATTTCAGGGTTTTCAACAAAAAGCAAAAGAAAAGCCTACGGCTGCTACTTATTCGGATTGGGGAGTCGAACCCCGAGATTCAACCTGCAACACAGCCTATTACTATTAGGACCTGCACCGAGCACCACATCCCAGTTACTTCCCTTCATTTGAGACTGGGTAAGTAAGTGGTTGTTATTTCGGCACAAAAGCAGAAAGGCAACAGGTGCTTCATTCGGATGCGGGGAGTCGAACCCCGGTCCTCAGCCTGACGATGGTTCGAGTTTACGATGAGCTGATATGCACCGTGCACCACATCCGAGATATCCCATTCCCATTGAAGCTGGGTAAGTGGGCAGCATTTAGCACCAAAAAGAAATGAATTTCAAAGCCAAGCATTCGGATGCGGGGAGTCGAACCCCAGTCTTCAGCTTTCAAGAAGGAGCTGATGTGCACCATACACCATATCCGGCTTACTTCCCTTCATCAGAAGCTGGGTAAGTGGGCATTATTTCAGCATGGATGAAAAAAAAGAAGCAAGGCAGATACATTCGGATGCGGGGAGTCGAACCCCAGCTTTCAGCTCATAGCTATCATCAAACCAGCTTATTGAGAGCCGATGTGCACCGTGCACCACATCTGAGATATTCCCTACTATTTGGAGTTGGGTAAGTGGCAGATATTTCAGCATGGACATGACAAAAAAAAACTCGAATTGCAAGACAGATTCGGACGTGGGGAGTTGAACCCTGGTCTTTAGCCTTTCACGTTCTGGAAATCCCGGTGTATGCGAAGCTGACGTGCACCGTGCACAACATCCGAGATACTTCCTACCACTCGAACCTGGGTAAGTGGGCATTATTTTGTCAGGGACCGAAAAAAAAAGCAAAGCTCGACTTATTCGGATGCGGGGAGTCTTCAGCTTCTCGTATTTGATATACATGTATATAGAGATGATGTGCGTCGTTCATCACATCCGAGTTGATACCCTTCAACTGGAGTTGGGTGAGTGGGAGATATTTCAGGGTTTCAATACAACAGACATACTGTGTTATTTGGATGCGAGTCGAACCTCGGTCTTCAGTCTGCATCTTGGAACAATACTAAGAGAAGCTGATGTACAGCGTGCACCACCCTCCGAGATATTCTGCACCATTTGGAGTCAGGGAAGGGTGAAAATCCACTAAAGCATTATTCGGACGCGGGGAGCTGAACCCCGGCATTCAGCTTGAAGAGGGCAAAAGCAGACACCACTTAACTGGAAGCTGAGGTGCACCATACACCACATCCGACTTATTTCCCTTCATCTGAAGCTGGGTAAGTGGGCATTATTTCAGCATGGACAAAAAAAGAAAGGCAAGGCAGATCTATTCGGATGCGGGGGGTCGAGTCCCCGTGTTCAGCTTTCGATTTTCATTTGGCTCGCATCGGGGTTCTCTGTGCTCCTATGTGCGAAGCCGCTGAGTCCCCAGAAGCTGCGTGATTCCTACGGGTATGACGGTTTTAGCGCTATCTCCATCCTATCTCCTCCTTTCACATGCAATATATCCAAATGCCGCCACTTCACATCATCTGCCATTTTATAATTATCAAGCACTACTGGCTCACCCATTTGTTGCAGATTTATTTTCGCAGTGGTGAGGGGCATGGCTGATTTTCTTTCTGGATGCCACCACATTGCTGGACCAGAGATATGTGCATAAAGACAGCTTTTCTCGGCCGGCACAAGTAGACGAGTATCCTTTTCTTGACTACATTTGAAAGATTTAAAGATAGATCTGTTTCCGGTGTGAAATTGTCAACAGACACATATACCGTGTATATATCATTTGATTCATATCATGCTCATAATGGCCTTAATGCACGGCCAAATGTATATATATATAAGCCCCGACGAATGGAACCCCTCCCTGTCATCAATGCCCACCATTCCTATTACCAAGAATGTCGAGAGTCTTCTCCAATATATTATACTGGCAGCAACTACTACCAAGAACATTGCAGAAACAGCCAAAGTGCCTTTCCTTGGATCAACTGCCGTATTGTGCTTGTCAATCACAAAGTGTATTGAGGTAAGCTGATGCCTCCACCTATTGGCACCATATTTAACAAAACAAAGACGACCAAATTGAACAAGGAAGAATACATTGAGATTATGGAGCACATTCATGAAATCCTGTGCATCATTGTCCAGCTTAATTCAACTTCAGAAATCAGGGGTATCCTTCCAACATCACTCCTGTATGACATTGCAAAATTCACCGAGTGAGTCCCATTTGATGATGACATTGTCTTTATTTTATATCTTCACACCAGGGCACTTGAAAAGTTGTTCACAGTTCTGAATGGGCAAAAAAAAGGCACTCTAGGAAAAATAAAGGGACTTTTCAAACAGCCTGAGGCCAGAGAAAAATTGGAAAGATGCAAGCAAGAGCTCAGTCGGATGGTTGGATTGTTCCAGGTATGTCAGATGAAATGTGTTTCAGTGCACATTCAAATCATTTGCAGGCTCAGGTTACAGGTTCAACCTTGTCTCAAATGGGGCAAATGAAAAAGGATGCCAAGGAACAACATGAAAAGCTTGTTGCCCTTTTGGAGAAAGACTCTGCCCTCACCGCATCTGATTGCTCCTCAGTGAGTAGCAAAGTATGACCATTGACATTTGTAGCTCATGGTTGTTAGATGGCAGGAACTCTAGCAAGTTTGAAGAATAATAGGTGAGCCAAACCTGCAAACACCATCAATCCTACTAAAGGTCTTAAACAGCTCAGGATCTTTTGGTCTACTTCCACCCTGTCCACACATCTTCCATGGCCGTGAATCAGAGCTCTGGGATGTGGTGAATATTCTCATACAAGATTCTGCCCACATTGCTATTCTTGGTGCGGGAGGCATGGGAAAGACCAGCCTCGCCACGGCAGCCCTCCATAATCCACAAGTGGAAGCCAAGTATTCACATCGATACTTTGTTCCATGTCACTCGAGCCCCACTTGCACTGAGCTGGCAGCAACAATTGCAGCCCATATTGGGTTGGAGAAGGGCTCAAACCTGCCAAAAAAATTGCACATTATTTTGCCCATGCTCCCCCTTCTCTTCTGGTCTTAGATAATCTGGAAACCCCATGGGAAGCCCTTTCAGCTCGCTCTGAAGTTGAAGAGTTTCTATCTCTTCTGACTGATGCCCTCCACTTGGGCCTGATGGTTAGTAATGTTTGCCAGTTTATCAAACTATACCTTGAACTTCTTGTAGATCACCCTCAGAGGTGCTGAGCACCCAAGCAAAGTCAAATGGACCAGACCTTTTTTGGCCCCTCTTGAGCCACTTTCCAATGTGGCTGCTCGGCAGACCTTCATTGAAGTTGCTGATGATGGCCATGATGATGCCAGCATCAAAAATCTCCTTGAACTGACTGGGAATCTCCCCCTGGCAGTCAGCCTCATTGCAAGTGTTGCAAGTTCTGAAGGATGTGCCAAGGCACTTTCTCGGTGGAAATTGGAAAGTACTCGGATGCTTTCAGATGGGTATGACCAGAGATTGAGCCTGGATATATCCATCATGTTGTCATACACCAGCTCTCGTATGACCCCAGGTGCTCAGGAGTTGCTCAGCATTCTTTCCATGCTACCAGATGGGCTTTCAGATGCCAATTTGGATGCAGGCCAAACTGCCAATCCCTGATATTCTGTCTTGCAAGGCTACTCTGATTCAAACAGCCCTTGCCTTTGTTGGCCAGGATCAACATCTCAAAGTTCTGGTTCCCATCCGAGAACATATCCTTAGCATTCATCCTCCCCAAAATATATTGAAGCTGAAGCTACGGGAACACTTCCATCAAATTCTTGATCTTTGGCACCAATTCAAGAATCTCAACGTAACAGATATACTCCCTCAAATTTCAGGAAATTTGGGCAACTTCAACACTGTCCTCCATGATGGGCTTCAACTAGAGGGGCCTGATATTGTCCAGAATTTGAGGAGCATCTTGTTTCTCAATCGATTCTATGATCGGGTCCATAACACATATTCACCCCTTTTGCTCCAGCTTTCTGGGAAAATACTGCATTGGAAAGACAATCAAATCTTTGGGGAATATCTCATCGAGTTATTGGAAACTTCGGACTATTTGCCTGACCCAGATTTCAATCACGACATCATCCTAGGCACTCAGCATTTCACATCAAAAGATCCACTGGAGCAGAGTAAGACACAATCATGGTCCATGTGTTCACCTAACTAATTTATCACCAGGCAGATGGTACCATGCACTGGGAATGTATTTTCGGTTTGCAAAGTCAGATTTAGCAGGAAGCCTGCAGTATTATCAAACAGCATATTCTCTGGCAGAAAGTACTGGATACCCTACCACTGTTGGCTACTCTGCTTTGGCCAGCATATGTGACATTCATCTTTTCACTGGAAAGCCCTTGAGTGCAATCACACATGCCAAGGAAGCATATAGATATGCTGAGCACATAGGGAACATCCATGGACAAGCTTGGTCTCTCTCCTATCAAGGAAGAAGTCACATATGTTTGGCAAACTATCAGCATGCTCAACATCTTCTGCAAAAATCCAGACACATCCTGGCTACTCTTGGTCACCAACAAAGTGGATTGAATTGTTCCATCCTAAATCAGCAGGCTGAGATACACCTTATGAAATCTGAGTATTTGGAGTCACTCAAGCTGCAAGTAGCCATTGCATCCAGCTGCCAGGCAACTTCATACTATGCCATCCTGGCAAACTTGAACATTGCTTTCATTGATATTACTACTGGTGCTGACTTAAAAATTGTTCACCAAAATTTGGACATCACTCAGTCTCATTTGAAGGCATTGTATGGGTATTTTAGCAAACAGCTATCCACTTTCAGTGATTATATAGCTGCTGATCTCTGTCTTCGAGATGGGGCTATTGGTCTTGCAAATACCATGTTTGAAAAATGTTTTGTATCCTCTCTGGATATCCAGCTGGACCTGTCGCTCTTATGTGCTGAAAGGCTTGGAGATCTTTCCACTGGGATGAATGACACCCAAACTACACTGCAATGGACTGGGATCCTCATTGCACTGGCATTGAAGTTCAAAAACAAGCTCCAGACAATGCAAGCACTCCGATGCCTTGGCCAGATTTTTTCTGCTGAAGGCGATGATGAAACAGCACTCAGCCTATTCAATGTTGCTCTTGATGGATTCACATTCATGGATGTCCATCGCTGGCGGGCAGATTGCATGGTTCGAATTAGTGATATACTGAATAATTGTGGAGAGGTCATTAAAGCAATTGAATTGTGGAAGACAGCCAGGCCCTTGTTTGAAAGGTCCTCTCAGATGAAGGATGTAATCAAGATTGATACAAAGATAGCAGAGGTTGGCTCTGCCATTCTGGCCAAGTATGAGGAACAACTTCAACACCTTTCGGAATTGCATGTACCTGTTAGTGCACTGAAGGAGGCATACATCACTGAGGAGGAGGAGGAGGAGGAGGAGGAGGAAGAGGACAAATTGACTCAAGGAAGTGACATTTGGGACAAGGGGAGGCATGGAGTGTTGGTTTGAATTGTATTCTGGATATTGGATAGTTGGGGTTCAATCTTCTTGTTCTTTCTCTTCAACTTTCCACAGCTCCACTCATATTTGGACAAATACATACCTACCTGTTTTTGGTGTGCACAGCATGCCATGTCCAGATTATAGCCTTTTGTCCAGTATGTAGCCTCCCTATTTATTTATTTTAACCACATCAATGGTGATTAAGTGTGGTCTGAATTGTGAAGGCAACGTAACTACCATCCCCTGCAAGTTGTCGCTGATGCAGCCTCAAATATTTGAACCCACCAAAGGGTTGGCAGCTGTATGGTCCTACGCCTTCCTGAGGTGATAGCCCACGAACTACAGTGACTCAATGCGGAGATTATCACCCATTAGGCAAGGAAAACATTTTCATTTCATCATGATCTTTTGTCCCCAAGTGTATGTAATAGTACTGCCTCATGATGTAGGCCAAAAAAGAAAATCCAACAGGATTTGGGAAAGAGCTGACTCTGTGCCACCTTGCCCTAGCTTGCGGCTGAAGGTTATGCCCAGTTGGGAGGAGAAAACCACCTGTGATTTGGTTCGTCCTGAGCCCTGCATATGCTAAGGCAAATTGCTTCTCTCTAAACTTATTTTATTTGAAGGTTTAAACATTTAATGCAGCCACCCATGTACCAGGGCATGAGAGTCAGCCTTAGCATGATACATGTATCCCCCCCCCCCCCCCCCCCACAGATCTAGCCCTTGAAAAAAAAGCGCTGTTGTGCCATATTACCCACCGACTCACAACCTTGGTATGCTCGGAAAATTGTGTGCTTTATGCATCGTTCTGTGCCTCCCATGCTCACGACATGCTCGTGGTGTTGCTGTGCTTTTACAGCCAATGTCAATACCGAAGGCGCGGCGAAAAAAATTGCTGTTTTAGGAAGATTTTGATCTTATTGAAAGAATTCCTCATAACTCAACAGGTTTTGCATGGATTGACCTGAAAACTAGATAGAATTAACGGGCTAATTCGTGCGCAATTAGTGATAGACCTAAAGTAGAAAAAAAAAATCTTCAAGTGTCTTGAGAACCTATGACTTTTGAGCAAGAATCTGGGCTAGCATGCCCAACTCACATCCAAATGAGTTGAAATTTTAAGAGAGAGTGTTTGTAACTACTTGTGAGGCGGGATTGGCTCAGTTGTTTGATAGTAGGGTGGATACGCTGAGAGACGAAACAAGGGAGATGATGCCGGATATGAGCGACGGAGATCCATTGCAAGTCACGATCAACATTCAACATGCGTTGCGAATTGCCATACGACTCGGAATTCAACTTAACTTCGGTCTTCAAGATTCGAGGTTGACGTTGTTGTATCATGATTGTGGTTTGTAGAAAGGAAGGCTAGAATTTTGATTGTGGTTTCAGCTGGACTTTACAGCTGTTTCCGATAACCTTGAGACTGATCAGAAAATTTTGCCCACGTCAAAATTTGATCCAATGCTAAGGATTACCGTTTTTGGACTCGCCGAGTAAGCCAAACTCGAAATTCGATATTTAACCTTGATTTTGTGTTGTTCTTCCAGCCGCTGGGGACTCCGTATTCAATGGTTAGTTCCGGTCGGAGCTAGTATGATGAAACGATGGGCCTCTCCCCTTGCAATAAGATAACTACTCAAGGCCTGAATCACTTGAGACTTACCCATTCCTCCGATTCCACCAAGGTACATTTTCAATTGAGCTGGATCGGGATCAGTAGCATGATTTGCAACAAGGTGAAAAGCGCGAGATTGTTCTAAGGCTAAAGTTTGATGCGGTCTTGGCAACAACTTTTCGGGAAGATTTAACTTTGGCTTTATAATATTTGGTGAAGTAGAAGGCGTCCAGTAGCTTAACACGGTTCTCAGCTTCCTCGACTTTCTTCCTAGATTTTTTTACACTGTCTTCAGGGGCATTTTTAAATTTAAGTTTGAGGAGTTTGTCTCGCTCCGATGCTATTCGAGCCTTCCATTGAGAGCTAGTTAAATGCTTGGAAGGGATAAATTTACTGGCGTCAAAGTTGAGGAAAGAGAAAGGCCTGGTCCACCCACTCTTTTTCATAATCCCAGCTGCTTCCTTCACGTGATCCAGCACCGTCAAGCGTGAATGTCCTTTTTCAGATATTGTATTATTACAATCAAATTGAAGCTGATGTGCACCGTACGCCACATCCGAGTTAATACCCTTCATTTGAAGCTGGGTAAGTGGGTGTTTTTTGAGCATGAACACGATTTTGAAAAAAAAGAGGAACTTCAGGCTGTATTCGGATGCGGGGAGTCGAACCCCGTTCTTCAGCTCTCACGTTGATAGAATACATCTTACAAGAAGCCAATGTGCACCCCGCACCACACCCGAGTTACCTGCCTTGAATTGAACCAGAGAACACGAGAATCGTAGAGCAAGCCGGGCCGGTAGTATTTGCACATGTTTCGGCCCTCTTGTGAGGTCGTGGCGTCCTCGCCAAGTCCTCGCGGTAGGTAGGAGATATAGCACGCTGCTCGCTCGCCCTTCTGCTTCTCCCTCCATGTCTTCCCCTCCCGGTAAATGCAGCCCCCATTATCTGCATCCCACTCTTACTGACCCTTTACCAGCAAAATAATAGATACTTCATACGCTGCATACCTTCTAATGTCGCACCCGTCTCTCTGGCTGCTCTGGCTGCTCCTGCTTCTCCTTCTCGCCCTCTGTGGGCTCGTTTACGCACTATACATCCTCCCGCACCGGCGCGCCGGCATCGCCCTCCTGCCGACCGCCGCTGACCCCGCCGCCCGCACCTCTGTCGTCCCTCCGATCCCGCCCCTCCGCGGCCGCGGCCGCTCCAAGAAGAGCGCCTTCGCCCGGCGCCTGCTCCCGTTCGCTCGCTCCCGCCGGGACCCCGTGCTGCCGCGGCACTACCGCGCGGCGTTCGCCGGGCGGGGCGGCGCACGTGTGGACACGGACGACGACGCGAAGCCGCTGCTCGACGTGTCCGACGCCACGAGCACCTGTCGCTCCATCTACTCCATCCCCTCCTCCTTGGGCGAGCTTGTTGAACTGGGGACGTCGCACTCAAACCCGCTCTGCCCGCGCGCGCCCGCCACACCCAACCCCTTCCTGCGCTCCTTGCCCGCCCTTCGCACACACATCGTCCCTCCCGCTTTCGATTGTTGGACACCTCGCAAACAATACCACGTCTCTAGCGCCACGAAATTCCAGATCAAGCTATGGGCTTTCCGCCGCCTACGAAACATTTCCTGTCTTGTTAACTCGATTTCCCCAAAGTCTCAGCCCACGCATATCTAAATCAAGGTAGCGCTCTCCCGGGATCGACGCAGCCGCTTTCTTCCAGGTTTTGTGACTAGACGGGGAGTTCCTCCATCAGTGTCGGCTCAAACCCGCAACTTGCACGCCTACAAACATCAATTCAAGCTCTCGGCTTGCCGCGACTTCCTCCAAGCACATCACAAACTCTTGAAGCTCTGCCAAGACCCGTTTCAAACACTCACACCTCATTTTTCACCATCCTGCGGCCTCGCGCGTCGAATCGAACTTTCAAATCAAGCTTGTCACCGACTCTACCGATCTGGCGCCGACTTTGCGCGTTTTTTCTTTCTTTTTTGCCCGCCTCGCAGACTATTTGTTGTCCTTCCCGCGACCTCCGGCCACAAAAGGCAGCATGAAACCGAGGATTTCCAACTACAGGAATTTAAATCAATCCCGCGGCTTCCCGCCAATCGGACCCGTCATTCTACCGACTTCGCGTATTTTGTTTCCGATGTTTCTTCCCGCTTCACAAGTGTACAAGCTCTGACTTGATTTGCCCCGCTTTCCCGCCTTGGAAATCTGCGTTGGATCTGGCATTCGAAACTCTAGGGCGCCGATCTTGTGCACTTTCCTGCGGACTTGGCGCGTTATTTTCGCGAGTTGTTACCGCTTCGGGGGCACCTCAAAGTTCGCGCTGGATTCGAAATCTCGTGCGATTCCGGACAACTTGGCGCAATTTTGCCCGCCTATGGTACCTCCGGCAAATTTGAGAGTGCTTTAAAAGTGTAATTGAAGTGCATCCTCACTTCCTCCTTCAAGCTCGTCTATTCTTCTTAATCACATCGATTTCCGAGTGTCTTTGATCCTCTATCTATCACTTTCGTCAACAGCGGACCAAGCGTGGTCTGGCAGCCGCAAGGAGCACCGTAGCCTTAGTTTTTCTTAGGATCCGTTTTTGTTACGTTATTTATATAATGAATACATCTTGTACGTGCGTGCAATCGGCAATGACGGAGAGTTGTCGGGTACCACCTTCGAGGATTTGTTTTCGGGCTCGGAGAGCAGTAGGTGGAAGATATTTCAGGGTTTTCAACAAAAAGCTGACAGCTGCCAATTATTCGGATTGGGGGAGTCGAACCCCGAGATTCAACCTGCAACACGGCTTATTACTATTAGTACGTGCACCACATCTGAGTTGTTCCTTATCTCCGAAGCTGGGTATGTAGGCATTCATGGACATAAAAAAAAAGATTCAACACGATTCAACATCTATTCAAACATTTGGATGCGGAGAGTCGAACCCCGATCTTCAGCTTACAGAAATTTAGAGATAAAAATGTGTAATGCGAAGCTGATGTGCAACGCGCACCACATCCGAGTTATTCCATACCTTCTCAACCTGGGTGAGTGGGCATTATTTAAGCATGGACTAAAAAGAAAAGAAAGCCAGCTTTTATTCGGATGCGGAGGTTCCGTTCTTCAGCGGTACTGCGATCGGCTCCGTGTATTGGTAGCTGAGGTGTGCCGTGCACCACATCCGAGTTATTCAATACCATTTGGAGTTGGGTAACTGTTGTCTTTCACCGAGGAAACGGGGGGAAAATAACCTGAAACGCAGGCCCTATTCGAATGCGGGGAGTCGAACCCCCTACTTCTGCAAAGCCATCCTAAGAGTGAGCTGATGAACACATCTGACTTATTAGCCTTCATTTTGAGTTGAGTAAGTGGGCATTTGTCGCAAAAGGGACCTGATCGCCTATAAGGGGTTAGGAAGGGTTACAGGCTTATAGGCGAGTTACAGGCGACTTATACTAGGCTTACAACTAGGGTATAAGTAGTTATATTTCAATATATCCTTGAGTGATATTGTGGGGCATTGAGGGCTGAGAGGCATCCACATATTGTCCTAATATCCTAATCTGCCCAGTCGGCCTCAGTCACCAAAAAAGACGCGGTTTTTGGGGTGAATTTACAGGCACTTCGGTCAGTTGTGGAGCGGGTGGAGCTGGGTGGAGTGGAGCTCCAACCCGAGCGCTGAGCACGGTACAAAACTGTGTTGGTGACATCTGAGCTTTCTCTGCACTAATAACAGATATTTTGAATGTAATTTGAGTCCTCAACACTTTATAATATAATTACTGAAGACTGACCCTGACCTACCTTGTTAACTGATACTTAATGATAATAATGATTATGATGCTAACTAGTAAATTAAAATAACTACTCTCCTTTCCGTTGGTACTACAAAGTACCAGCGGAGGGGAGCAAGATCTTTTCGAAATTTTGCCTCGGCTAGTTATAAGCCGCTATAACCTCCTATAACCCTGTAACCCCTTATAACCTCCGTAAGTCCTTATAACCCAGGATAGCCCCATTCTGAAGTTTATAGGCCCCCCAAAAACCTTACAAGCTTATACCTTATACCAACTTATCTTCTACAAAGGACTTTTGCGACATTATAGCATGAGTGTGGTAAAAAAAATGACGGGCCCGGGCTCCAGCTTACAGCGTATACGCATAGCGAGCGATAGTGGTAACTGACATGCACCGTGCACCACATCCGAGTTTTTCTTTATCCTTTGAACCTGGGTAAATGGGGATATTCCGTCGCACAAGAAGCAAAAAAATCAAAAGAACTCTTTTATTCAGATACGGGGAGTCAAACCCCGGCTTTCAGCTCTAAGCTTATCGACAAAGACAATCGAAAAGAAGCTGGTGTGCACCCTACACCACATCTGAGATATTTTCTATCATTGAAACCTGGGTAAGTAGCAGCAGTTTCGCGAACTCAGGAGAGAAGACTAAAAATATATTTTTTACTTGTCATCTTATTCAGATGCGGGGAGTCGAACCCCGTTCTTCAGCTTACAGCACATCCTCACCCCTTTAGTGGTAGCTGATGTCCACCGTGCACCACATCCGACTTACTTCCCTTCATTTGAAGCTAGGGAAGTAGCAGTATTTTCAGCATGGACGAAAAAAAAGGCAGGACGCGGACACATTCGGATGCAGGGAGTCGAACCCTGTTCTGCAGCATTCACTGGATCACGACATATGTACTAGGGGCTGATATGCACCGTGCACCACATCCGAGTTATATAATAGCCCTGATTTGAACCTGGTTATGTGGGAGATATTTCAGCACGGACAGGCAAAAATGGAAACGAAAACTGTTTATTCGGATGCGGGGAGTCGAACCCCGGTGTTCAGCTTTCACCTTTGTCTTGAAACGGTTACAAGGAGCTGACGTGCACCATACACAACATCCGAGTTATTCGCCTCCATTTGAACCTTGTTAAGTGGGAGATATTTCAGCAAGGAAACGAGCAAAAGGCGGAGTGCTAGTGCACTCGGGAGTCCACCGCCGGGTTTTCAGTAGTACTCAAACCGTCAAACGACGTAGTGATAGCTGATGTGGACCCTGCACCACATCTGAATTCTTCTATATTATTTAAAGCTGGGCAAGTGGGGGATATTCATTTTAGCGTGGACGGGCAAAAATGCAACATTCGGACGCGGGGAGTCAAACCCCGGCCTTCAGTTTTAATATGAGACACCGGCTAGTTAAGACCTGAAGTGCGCTGTACACTACATCTCTACCATTTGACCGTGGGTAGTAAATGCGGCTTTTCGCAGACTCAGGAAAGAAGACAAAAAAAAATAGATGTGGACTTTGCTTATTTCGGATGCGGGGAGTCGAACCCCGGTTCTTAGCCTGATGATTGCTACAATACATGATGAGCTGATGCATGTGCACCGTGCACCAAATCCGAGATATTCAATACATTCTGAACCTGGATGTGGGAAAAAAAAGAAGTGCGAGAGAGGCTTTATTCCGATGCCGGGAGTCGAACCCCGGTCTTCAGCAGTACTCAAACCCTTAAACGACGTAGTGATAGCTGATGTGCACTCTGCACTACATCCGAGTCATTAACCTTCACTTGAAGCTAGGGAAGTAATAGCAGTATTTCAGCATGGACGAAAAAAAAAAAGGAACAGGCAGACAAATTCAGATGCAGGGAGTCGAACCCTATTCTTCAGCTTGCAACCCTTGATACACTTATGAGGAGCTGATGTGCACCGTACACCACATCCGAGTTCTTCTCTACCCTCTAGACTGGGTACGTAGCAGCATTTTAGCACCAAAAAGAAAAGCATGGACCCGTTATTGCTCAATCGGACGCGGGGAGTCGAACCCCGGTTTTCAGCCTGCAACATGGAAGCGCTAACAGGAGCTGCTGTGCGCCGTGCACCACATCCGACTTATTCTGTATCATCTGGAGTTCGGTAAGTGGCAAAATGTTTAGCGCCAAAAATAAGCTTCATGCCATAAATTATTCGATGCGGGGTGTCGAACCCCAGCCTTCAGCGCTTCAGCGCTCAGGTTTTTTGGACACAATGAACGAGGAGCCGACGTGCACCGTGGACCACATCCGAGTTCTTCTCCACCATTTAGATGTGGGTAAATGTGGTATTTTAGCACCAAAAAGAAAAGAAATGTAACCGCAACTTGCAAGTCACGTATTCGGATGCGGGGAATCGAACCCCGTTCTTCAGCTCTCAGGTTGGCTAAACTCGTACAAGAAGCCAATGTGCACCCTGCACCACACCCGAGTTACTTGCCTTGAATTGAACCAGAGAACACGAGAGTCGTAGAGCAAGCCGGGCCGGTAGTGTTTGCACATGTTTCGGCCATTCTTGAGGTCGTGGCGTCCTCGCGGTAGGTAGGAGATATAGCACGCTCCTCGCTCGTCCTTCTGCTCCTCCCCCCATGTTCTCCCCTCCCGGTAACCGCTGTCCCCATTATCTTCATCCCACTCTTACTGACCCTTTACCAGTAAAATAATAGATACTTCATACGCCGCATACCTTCCAATGCCGCACCCGTCTCTCTGGCTACTCGGGCTGCTCCCGCTCCTCTTTCTCGCCCTCTGTGGGCTCGTCTACGCACTAGACATCCTCCCGCACCGGCGCGCCGGCATCGCCCTTTTGCCGACTGCCGACCCCGCCGCCCGCACCTCTGCCGTCCCGTCGATCCCGCCGCTCCGCGGCCGTGGCCGCGCCAAGAAGAGCGCCTTCGGCCGGCGCCTGCTCCCGTTCGCTCGGTCCCGCCGGGACCCTGTGCTACCGCGGCACTACCGGGCGGCGTTCGCCGGGCGGGGTGGCGCGCGCGTGGACACGGACGACGACGCGACGCCGCTGCTCGACGTGTTCGACGCCACCAGCACCTGGCGCTCCATCTCCTCCATCTCCTCCTCCAGCTCGGGCGAGCTCGTCGATCTGGGGCCACCGCCGCACGATAGTGATAACAATAATATTCCGATTAATATTTATAATGGTACCGACCCGCCGCCCAAAGCGCATTTGACGCGCTCGTCGTTTGAGCGCGACTGCGAGCGCGAGCACGACGGGCACGTTCTGGTCGATTTTTCGGCCCCGCATGACGAGCAGATGCTCGTGGACGTGTCCGTGCCGTCGTCCCCCGCCCCCGGGAAAAACTACGACACGAAGGGCAAGGGCAGAGACACCACCGTCGTCTCCCCGCGCCGCACGCCCCCGCTGTCGCCCCACTGGCATGCCCCCGTATCGCCCCATTGGCCTGCGTCCCCGCACTGGCCCGTCTCCCTCAGCACCACCTCTCCCCCGCCCCAATGGCCACCCACCCCCGTCTCTCTCGCTCCCAAATCCCCCGCCTCCCCTCCTCCGTCCACCACGAAACTCTCCCCGCCTCCCATCACCGCGATGCGCGCAGTGCACACCCCCACGCCTGCGGCCCCTACTATTACGTATATAAAGCCCCTCGGCGCGCCTGTCAAGTCCCTCGACACTTCCGCGCTAGATGGGCGTGCCGCAGCGATCGAGCTGCGCGAGGTACACGCCCTCCCCGCACCCGCACCCACCCCCTCCCCCTCCCTCCTCGCCCCGCCCCTCGCGTACGCGCCGTCCCTCCCGCTCCCATCTCCTAAATCTGTACCCCACACGCTCGATACACATGCGTCGCTCGTGGAGACGCAGGCGCACACAGCGCTCATGGAGACGCGAGCCTTGCTCACGCCGCGCCCCCTCTCAGTGTCATACGCCTACTCCTACTCCGACTCGACCCCCTCCCCCGACTCGCCTTTCCTCGTGCGGGGCGCACCGCGCGCACTGCTCTTCCCCCGCGTCTCTCCCTGCGCTTCGGACTCGGACGCACCCGCGGACGCACTCAAAGACGTGGAAGAAGAAGTCGTCGTCGAGGAGGAGGAGGCGGAGGAGGACGCAGAAGACCACGACGGCCTATGGGGCTACGCGGGCAGCCTTGGCGACCTCGTCGCGCGCTGGCGGGAGCACGCGCGCGCGTGGGAGAGGGAGGAGCGTGCGTTGAGTGCGGGGGGTCCGGTTCCGCTCGTTGGTGGTGGGAGCGTTGGTAGGTTCCCCTTCGCAGGGGGCGCGCACCGCGTTCCTTTCGCTGGTGGTGGCGTCTTTCCCATGCACGTTCTTCCCCGCGACAGCCCATGTTTCCCGCTCGAAGAGGAGGTGTGGGCGCCGCAGGGGATGCAGGACGAGGAGGGGCAGGATCTCGACGACGACGCACCCACCCCTGCTTTCGAGTGCCCCGTCCCCACCCCCGCTTTCGGCGCCTTCCCCAGTGCGTTCGCCACGGGCCTCGACGACTTCGCCGACAGCCACGACCTCCCGACCGAACGTGCGGACGTCACCATTCCCAGTGCGTTCGGCAGCACCGACGACCCGGACGACTTCACGCTCACACGCGCAGACGACGACTTCACCTTCGCTCTCACGAACGCAGACGGAGCGCAGCACGATTACGATCACGACTATTACGACGCACATGCATGACATGACTGGGATGACTTTACCTTCGTCCAAGTAGGACCAGAACCGGGATTGGGTTTGGGATTGGGGCAGGAGGAGCACGAGGAGGAAGGCATGGAAGGTGGTGTTGATGTTGATGGTGGTGTGGGTGTAGGTGGTGAGGTGCGGGGTGTGTATGGGGATTACGACGACGATGTGGCGCGGGACGACGACGCAGGTACGCAGCAGCAGCCCAATCGTGCTGCGCGTGGTGCTGGTGCTGGTGCTGATGCTATTGGTGCAGGTGGCGCCGATGAGCTGGTCTCGATTCCTGCTGACGACGACGTGCCGGCGTGGATGCGTGCGCGCGGGGATTACGACGACGACGTGCTGGACGATGATGCGCTGGCGTCAGCAGCACCGCGCGCTGATGCGTATGGGGAGGAGGAGCGCGATGCCGGGGATGAGGGGCAAGCGCACGCCACACTCGACCAAGACGCGGACCTCGCTGTTCAAGCGCAGGACGAGGATGTCGCGGACTACGCGCACGCAGACCCAGACGAGATGCCCCTCCCCGCGTTCGGCCTTCTTCCCCCTCTTCCCCTTCCTTCTGCTTCTCGGGTGCACTACGAACAAGCCGACGAACAAGACAGGGAAAAGCGTGAATCAGGAATGGAAGGGGATGAGGACACAGACCCGGCGGAGATGCCCCTCCCGGTGTTCGCGCTGCCTCCGCCGTCGTCGCTCAGGATATCGACGTCCGCGCCGCTTCTCCTCCCGCTGCGCGCAGAGCACACACGCGAGGCCACGAGCGCAACGGAGCACGCGCCCCTCCTCGCCCCGCCCGCGCGCGAGCAGGACCTGGGCTCGCCCGCGACGCCCGAGCCTCCGCCGGCCGCTACGCTTCCCGCTTCGCTGTCCCACGCCACGGTATCGGCATCCGCACAAGACCACAACGTGCACTCGGAGGAATCCGACGCGGAAGAGGAAGAAACGGACCTCGGCCTGGCGCTCGTGCTCTCGGGGCCCGCGTAGGCGCAGCGCGCGGCCGCCGCGCCCGTGCTCGGGCTGAGTGCGCAGCCCGGGTGGGACGGCGAGCGCGAGGGCGCCCTCGCGTTTCCGGGGGTG